GAGGCGCGCTGAGCAGGTGCCGTGTGCAGGTTCCTTGTGCAGGTGTTCACACAGGTTCCTGCAGGTTCCGTGTGCAGGTTCCCTGTGCAGGTTCCCTGTGCAGGTTCCGTGTGCAGGTTCCCTGTGCAGGTTCCGTGTGCAGGTGTTCACACAGGTTCCTGCAGGTTCCGTGTGCAGGTTCCCTGTGCAGGTTCCGTGTGCAGGTGTTCACACAGGTTCCTGCAGGTTCCGTGTGCAGGTTCCCTGTGCAGGTTCCGTGTGCAGGTGTTCGCACAGGTTCCCTGTGCAGGTTCCCTGTGCAGGTTCCCTGTGCAGGGAGCCGCAGAGCGTGGCCCCGGGGAGCGCTCCCGGCCCGCCGCAAGCCGGCCCGGCTGTGCCCGCGGAGCCGCCCCGCTCTCCCCAGCAGGGCCGGTCCCCACCACGGCAGGGCTCGTTCTGTCCCCGGTCCCGGTCCCGCACGCCCCCCGCTCCCGCACGCCCCCCGCTCCCGCTCCCGCACGCCCCCCGCTCCCGCACGCCCTCCGGTCCCGCACGCCCCCCGGGTCCCGCTCCCGGGCCGCACTCACTCGATGTGCCCGGCGCGGCCGGAGCCCTGGATGGATTTGGCTCCCCAGCGCTGCTCCCGCTCGCTGATGTCGTTCTGCGGGACGAAGCGCGGCCGTCAGCCCCGGCCCGCACGGGCTCGGTGCGCTCCGTCCGACCCCATCCCCGCCGGGTAGGGCAAGGCAGGACCGGGCCGGGGGCTCCGACCCACTCCGCAGAGCCGAGGTGACACCCGAAATGTGTGGAGTTCACTGTTCGGGAAAATACTCCAAAAACCGCAATGACCTCAGGCCTGGCTATCACAGCCTTGTGTAGTTGCTTTTTGGAAGGTCTGAACATATATTCGGTAAAATGAAGCATCAATAAAATCTTTTCTAATATGCAAGAAAGCTGAAAATATGTATATATGAAATAGAATGAAAAAATCACTACAAGGTCTTTTTCTGTTCATGCTTAGTTTGAATGCTTCCACAAATAGAAGAAATTAGTAAGAAAAAAAAATTGGACAGTATAGATCTTTCCTAAAATATTAATAACTTGAAACTGTGATAAAGGAATTTGATTTTTGCCCTAAACTAGAATTTCTTACTGGAAATACTTAGGCAAGACTGAACCTCGAAAACAAAGGAATCATGTCCAACTGGAGAGGTTTATTAGGAAAGTAACAGAACCAAATGGAAAATGACAATCATGACCCTGTATGAATGCAGAGGGTTCCCCAGGCCAAACCCGTCTGCTCCCTCACCAGCTCACTCAAACTAGATAGAAAACAAGAGTGTAAGAGGCACAGAGCTTCATCTGTGGCAACCTTGATCAGTCAACCTGCACAAGTTGACTGTTAACAGAGTAGGATTTTTCATCTGGAAAAAAGATGAACAAGGGAAATCCTGGATTCTGTACAGTTACAAACCGTGTGGGACAGAGAAAATGTGTTTGCTGTGTCTTGTAACGTGTTGTGGAGAAGACAAGGGAAGTTACCAGGGAGCAGGTTTAAGAAACTCTGCCTATTCTGTACTCCTTCAGTACCATTACTTGTGGTCAGACATGAGGTGCGCAATGATGTAGGAAGTTCTGGAGATTAAACTTGGATGCATCAGGAATGGCTCAGACAGGTGACCTGCCAGTACCTGCGAGGAGCTGATGGCACTTGGTTGATCCTGCCCTGCCAGCGGTGCTGCAGCTGGACTGAGCCCCAAGGAAGTGCCCAGGGCCAGGAGCTCTTCACACCACCAGTACAAAAGTTGCTACACCAGACACTCACCACAAAATCAGGGTCCGTGTCCCAGTCGTCTCCCTGAGCCTCCACTTTCACTGACACGTCGTGTCCCACAGCTGCTTTCCACATCTGCACAACAAGGACATGGTGTCACACCCGGGGTGACCACACATGGCTCAGTCACAGCAGAACTTGGGCTGTAAGGGGCCCTTACAGGCCACCTGTCCTCACACATCTGTCCCTCAAAAAGCACAGGGCACTCCAAAATAGCTGCTCCTGAGCCCTAGCACTTCTTACAGCAAAACACACAGAGAGTGTAGGTGTAAACCACAGCCTTCATGCACCCTGACTCTGCAGCAGGAACACACACCTTATGATAATGTAAATGAATGCTGCATCCAATTACCAGATTCTGCTTTTCCAACACATACTAATTTTCTGTGCTGTGGGAGGCTGTTCCCTGCATTACTCCCCCTATGAGCACGGTCACACACAATACTATGGCATGCTCCAGCACCGTGACACTGCTGCTGGAACTCAGGTGGACTCCTCAAGCCTCTTGTCTGCTTTACAACCTTTTAATCCCTGCCCAATAGCCTAGAGAAGGGTTAGAGCAAGGCTGGACAGTGGTGTGACAGGGCTGGTGCTGCGTGGTGTTCATGTCTGTCACGTGGAGAAAATGGGAAATGGGGCTAAAAGCACTGTAGGGCTAAACTGGCTGAGGCTGTGGTGGAACCGCTTCTGCAGGCCTGGAGGAAGTGACAGGCCCAGGAAGAGGAAATTAAAAGTAATGCAAAATCTATGTTTCATTTTCAAGGTGACCATAAAAAAACTGTGATGAAAAAGCTCCCTCTCCCCTTCCCCCCCAAAAAACTGAGTTTTTACAAAATGAGAGAGAGAGAGAAAAGATAAATTGTCTGCCCCTACACCTCAGAGCAATCACTCTTATCAGAGCCCCATCCCTTCCTATCCCGCCCCTTTTACTCCCTGCAGTGTTGAGGAACTGCAAGTTCTCTGTGTCACCCAAAGCAGATTTTTTGTGGAGCATAGAGAAAGATGGAGGAGAATGTGCAGGAAAGACTGAGCTGAGCCCTGTTCTCCATCACACCAAACTGTGACCAAATCAACAGGAAGAAAGAGAGCTCTTGTGTGCTGGATCTTCAGTTAACAGCAGCTTTTACCATGTGCTGCCCCACTCCCATGGCTGTATGGAAGCCTCAGACAGCCCCTAGCACTTGGGGCAGTTGCTGTCTTTGAAAACAAAATGTTTATGCTGAGTAATAAAGTAATTCTGTTTGTGCTAAGTAATTAACTGTTCCACATCAAAAGTAGGAATAAGTGCTTAAGTGAATAACCTTATGGTTTAGTGCAGTGCACTGCTCAGTTTTAAGCTGTCCTTTCCAGATGAGTTTCAGGTTGTTCTTTCTGGAGAACCAGCACTGTAAGACCAGGGAGTGAAAAGAACAGCAACCAAATGAGCACAGCAGAGATTATTATTTCTTTTGTTAAATAGAGGCCAAGCTAGTCAGCTAAGAGAGAAGATCAAGGGCTAAGGCCGATATACAGTGGAGACCTGGTTTTAGGCCTTCTCCAGGTGCCTCAGGACCATAGCTGGTCTGACATTCCCCACTGACAGCAATCCAGTGCCAAACTGAATGCAGCTAATTGCAACTAGAAGCAGGGGAAGCAGAAAGGCTCATGTAGACAGCACAGCCCCCTCTAACACCACCTTTCTCCTTTTTCCCTCCCTCATTTATTGGCATCTCTCATGCCAAAGATTTTAAGTTTGTTGCTCATTTTTGTAAAGCATAAACCAGCAGTAATAACCAGCTATCACAGGACTGCTCGTCATCAGGACAGCTGATGTGAGCTCAAATAAGATGGTTCAAGGTTTTAAATGCTGCTGTAAATGGTTCCTGAGCACCCATTCTCCAAAGGTACCCACCATGCATTGTGGGAACTGTGACAAAGCACAGGCTGTAATCTCATCTTGAGGCTCTGGACACTGTCTATAAGAGAAATATCAGCCAGGGTAGCATCTCAGCCCTTTTTTTGTCCCATTTTCCCATGGAAAACATCCACTACAGCACAAATACAGGGCTAACACACAGCACAGTTGTGCTGGTAGATTTGGAAATGTGATTCTTTAGACCCTCAAACACAAGAACCACAATGATGACAGGACAACAGCCTGAGAAGCACATGCCAAGCACTGTCCACCTAAACATGTTTGGTCAGGAAGGAGTTCTCTTTGCCCACTAAATGCTACACTTTTTTGTAGTCATTTCTCACTTTCCACTCCCAAAAGCCCCTCAAGTTTTCTTACCTTTAAAGGCTCACCAGTTCCTGCTGGCAAACTCACTGCTTTTTTCTCAGGCACCTGCTTCCAGCAACAGCTTTGGGCCTGTGTCTGCTCCGAGTTCCTGTTTTAACTTCAGCCCTTTTCACTTCCTGCATCCCAGCCCCCAGCTCTACTCAAGTCATGAGTCGAAGAACTGGCCCTAGTGCTGCAGTTCCCCTGCAGGCTGCCTCTGAGACACCAATACAGAGCAGACCCAGAGCTTCCCCACCAGCACACTGGATTCCATCAGGTCCCAGCACACCTTGTGTTTTAAAGAAGACTCTTACATGGGTATTAAAAACAAAGTTCTGGTGGAGGCACAAATCCTGGAGCCAGGTCTTGAGAATGCCTTTTACTTTCAGTATCTCTCCCCATTACTTGGAGAATTGAGGAGAACACTAACTGTGCTCCTGAACCTTTTCCCATTCTGCCCAGGGCCCTGAAAACTCCTTCAATCAAGCTTGGACTTCTTGTTGCAACACCACCAGTACCCACAAGAAAGAACCAGAGTAGGCACAGTCCAAAGGCTGCACTGAACTTAAGTCAGTCGTCTGTGACATCCCTGTCTCAGGGTCCTGGGAGGCAGCAAGCACATGGGTGCTTTCATTGTGCTCAGGCGTGACTCACCTGTGACTGCGCCCTTCTCTCGTTTCTCCTCTGCACTGGCCTCACTGCAGCTCTCATCATGAGAGGTGGGTTGAGCTGCCCTCGGTGAGGCCAGGTTCCTTGCACCTCCTCGTGTGCAGTCTGCCATTCCCAGATCCTAACACCTGTCCTGTAAGGGGAGCTGACAGGATCAGGAGGGTTCCCCTTAGAGCTCCATGCAGTAACTTGCACCCACTCCTCCCTACCCCTGATGTTGCCTTCCTCCTGGCACAAAACCAGACCCTGTCCCAGCCTCAGTGCTGGTGCTGAATTGGCACGAGTGTCCCAGGGATGTCAGAGCACAGCTTCATTGGCTGACCTCCTTCTCAGGCTCTACTGAAGACAGATCAAAAATCAAGGCAGGACAGGTCCATTGGAGAAACAAAACGTTGAAATGTTTGCGACAGGAAACACCAGCTAAAAAGCCCCATCTTTCATCATGTCAAACCACAAAGCTGTTCAGTCAGACCAGGAGTTCCTTTTGAGGTTTTATTCCTCTATTTAATCTAAGCTATAAATGTTCTATCTGCAGGTGTAAAGCATTTAAAGGTATCTGAGGCATTAGAATCATGTCTTTCTTCAGTTCTGGAAAAAATGCACAGGCTTTAGGGAAACATGCTTTGCTTATAATCCTTGCTCCTTTTAAACACAGTGGAAACATTACCTACAACCTTACAACACCAGTTCTGGCTTTTGTTCCAATGGTGATGGGGGACTGTAGTAGTGACTGTGAACAAGGGTACCTGATTTAGGCTGCAGAAAGTTGGAAGGGGACAGTTTATCTGTCCCATGGGAATTATCAGCATGTTCCAGCTCACTGATGCCAACTTCTGTATCTCTCCTGGGATTGCACAACTCTTAACAGGGTGCAGTGTTCAGGCAAATGTGGAAAAGTAAACCCTAGTGTATACTGTTTTACTGGAATTGCTTTCACAATGCATGCAATAGTTTGGGTTGGAAGGGACCTTAAAATCATTAGTTCCACACACCCCTACCATGAGACATTGCCTATTCAAGTGCTATTTCCTTATTTTGTCAGCTGAAAAAGGCTGAGCAAGAGGTGAGATAGGGAAAAAAGGTCATCACCTAGGCATTCACACTATATAAAGAAACAGAGCTTCTGCAACCATCATACAAGGCAGCACACACAAGAGACCTGCAGTCCCACCGTGTCCCACGCAAGGTGTGGTGATGCAGCAGCACTATACTCTTCACTTGGACAGTTACATGAAAATCACACGAATTCCATCTGAAAAATAAACTTTATTATACATACAGGAGCTCATACCCCAGAAAGCTATAGACGAACTATTTGGTCACTGAATTTGACATAGAGGAAGTTCACACTGCTCATCGTGGACAGTGCAGTAGAGGATATATAGCGCTAGTGCTCTGGACCTGCCAGAGATCCAGCTGGTTTAGCTACCAGTGAAATTAATCCATCTTCAACCAGGCTTTCTGCACTGCACAGAGCAGCTTAGTTTACAAGCTTTACCTCTTTCCCATGGGAAAAATGTGACTGCTAATGCTCTACTAAGAGGCAGATATGATTCTCCTGGCCAGTACTCTGGATGAAATGACCACTCGGGATCTGACAGCGAACACAACTGGAACTTCCTTTGCATTCAACATTCTCCTTTTGGAAGAGGGCTGTCTCACATTCAGGAGGTTTTTAGAAAACAGATGGAAATATATCCGTATTTCCATATATCCTAAAAGATCCAGTCCATTTGCATAATTTGATTTGGGTCCAAATATGGCCAAACACCAGCACCAGCATTCTACACCAGAAGGTTTCAGAACTCTGGCTCCTTCCTCAGCATAGGGGAGAGAGTTTATTTCTGGAGTTTCTGTCTTTGCTTTGGGCCCACACAGCACATTATGGACCTCTTCAACACAGCCTGTGCAGGTTCAGTCTCATGATGAGTGTTTAGTGAATGAGAAGGCAGGAGCAGGGCTGCTATAATTTCTAGAGGTAAGGCAGCACTTTCCATCATGAAAGGTGCACAAATGCTATAAATAGGAGGGTTTTTAACTTAAGAGCTAAAAAGCTTCATGTTTCCTATTCATTTTAAATAACTAAATTACTGGCCTTATTTTACAGGCTTGTCAGGGCAGACATATGATTGATTTTAAATGGAATGCTCACTAAGGCCAGATATACTAAGTTTGGCCCTTCTTCAACTGAGCAGGAAACATGATTTTAAGATTCACATTCCTTAAAGTGCCCGTAACTTCTTTAGGATATGTATGTCAGACAGCTCTAAGCCATGGAGCAAATCTAAGGGGTAGAAGAAAGGGAAGGCAATTATTTTACATCCAGCTAGTGTTTCCCCAACCCCATTGATGGATTCAGCCTAAGAGGGGGAAGATTGTGCAGTTTTAGAAGAGCTGAAGTACTGCAGCAACTCAAGAGTATTTTTCTTATTCCTACTGCAGCACAATACTATCTAAAACGAGTGGTACTCCTTCCAGGTACAGGAACAGATGCTGTCCCTGAGGCTTGCAGCACAACCCTGGCTCAGAAAATGAACCACTCAAGTAGAAGCGCTGAGGGAAGGGCAGATTTCCTGGGAGCAGCTCCCCAGCACCAGCACTGACCCTGACAGCAGCACCCAGGTGCTGGGCACAGCTGTTGCTTCAGGGTTGGCTTGAGAAAGGCTGCAGCTGGGACAAGTGCTGCCCTTCTATGAGGGCATGCAGGCCCTTGGCATGCACAGGGCTGAGGCTCAAGAAAAGGCTGTCACTCCTGTTCACAGGTGGCCTGTAAAGCACAGGAAGAGCAGCACATGGAGAGCAAGCAGATACATGGCCACTAGCAGAGGCAAGTGGGTCCGGGAGCGGAAGAGAGAGCGTAACAGGCGTCGTAGTCCAAGAGTACTCCGAGTCTGAAAGAGTAAAGAGACAGCAGTCACCACAAGGAATGGCTGTCCCCAGCTGCCTTCATCCAGAGCTCTCCAGACTATGGAGATAAGTTTGTTTAAGCTAATGAGCATAAACCTTCCCCAAATCATTCCACTGTCAGACTCTAACACTAGGGCAATCCTTATGAAATATTCTCCTTCCCCTGCTCTCTGCAGGTTGTCCAGGAACCAGCCCCATCCAATTTTATTTTCAGCATGGCAAAAGCAGAAAAACTACACAGTCCCCAACCAATTTTTGTGTGTCTGCAGAGGAATTTAACTGCTGTAGGTTCACAGTTTCTCAAATCAAGTGAGGCTCACATAATTGACAGCTGTGAATGTTAAATTCTTACTCTGCTGGAATTATTATCCATGGAGTCAATCAGCAAGGACTGCTCATAACCTGGAGTCATATCAATGCTGGCACTTAAGGAAGATGTCCACTCACTTGACTGCAACCTGCCACAACAAATGTGAAATTAAAATCAGTTTCTTATTATGATGCCCAAATCAACACTGTAATTAAGCTTAGGAAAGATGGTACTTCTCAAAAAATGAATCGGCCCCTGCAAGCAAGCCCTGGCTTCACTTGCCAAGAGCTGGTTCCATTTGTATAGGTGTCATGCCTCCTGAGCTCACACTGAGAAAAGAACAGGGTGACCCAACTAGCAGGAGTTCTTACTCCTTTCAAGTGAAATTTTATAGTGTGACTTAAAAGAAGCCAGGGCAGATGATACACCTGTATGTTTCAAATTCTGTTAAATTATTTTGGAAGTCAGCTCTGGCTGCAATAGGGCTGGTTCTTCCTATTTTTAGTGACAGAGGCTGCAGTCACATCCTGGGGCTCCCATTCATTAGTGAAATCAGCTGCAGGAGGCTTTTATAGACTTTAATGCCAGAAGGAGCTACAGTTGTCCAAATTCTGTAGCAATTACCAGGGAACTTCATCCAGAATTCTTCTAAACAGACCATTATTTTTTGGCTGAATCAGCAAGTGTGTCAGAAGAAAGGCACTGTTTTCATGTAAAAGACTTCACTAGTCCGTAACTCCAGTTTTTTAACTACCAGGAAATGCACAGCACCAGTGCCTATAATCAGGTCACATGCTAAAACCCCCTACATAGTCAAAGAAGAGAATCAAGCATTTTGAACCTGCTGCTCACTGCAAACTAATCCCAGCCCAAACATCTAGTCCAGGTCAGCTGCCTTTGCTCTGCTGACTCTCAGGGCATCTGTGCAGTGCCCTGAGAGACGCAAAGTCCTGTGCAGTGCAGACCCCAGTGCTGGATACTGGGGACAGGACAGGAGAGAGGTCTAGGCTGAAGGTAAGCCTGGGAAAGGTGGACACAAGTATTTAAGTATTTAATTGCTTCGCAATAACCAAATTAATGAAAGGTTTATGTTAATTTGCAATACATTAAAAATGAGTGACATTCTTCAAATTAAAACTGTTTCATGTATGACAGACAGGTGCTGACTGAGGAGACAAATCCCCTGGAAGATCCTCTTTGGCCTGCA